CGAGTCGATCAAAATGACTTATATTGCTGAAAAAGGTCGCGCACGGCAATATCGATAACAGTTCTGCATTAAATCCGTTCTTCCTCCACTTTGGCATGCCATTGGTCACGGTGTCGATGTGAATTTCGATGCATAGTTTTCGCGATTAACAGTATCTGAGGATATACCGTTTCGATTTCTACCTTATTGGCCAACTGTTACCATCAAAAAGAATCTATCAAATTTTTAAAATTAACATATAACTTGATTTATTATTAATTTGGTATTCAATTTAAAAACCTTTCGTTTTAAAATAAATTTGAAACGTGTCACGAATTGAGAACTTGAGATACAATTTGAATATATTTAACTCAAAACTTGGACTTTGAATTTATAAGTAACTCACACATTGTTCTTGCAATTTTAAACTTTATCTTTACATCTATGTGCGAATTTTGACCTTCGACATTTGCTTTCCTTTAATACTGTTCATTAATATTCACAAATGTAGATTCAATTTTAAATTAAAAGACCGCAAAAGTAAATCTGGCAGACTATTCCTTACTCGACCCAAATGCTCAGTAGATTGGAAATTTTACCCACCTAAACGAGTCTTCACCAAAGGACAACAATAATGAAAATATAGAGGAGAAACTTTACCGACCTCACCAAACTCGCTCTAACAACTTTAATTTTCTTCTCTACAAACCCAACCGCGGCTCCGATTTAATTAAATTTAATATTAATTGGGGTCGAGAATAAGACTTGGAAACGCCACTATGTTTTTAAAATAACTTTTTGATTTTATTACATTAATGAACGTTGAAAAGTTTTTTGTAACTTGATAAAATGATGTTTTCCCCTTAGAATAATCAACATTATATTTCAACGAGTCACTTTACGTGCGTACATATGTGAGTTTGATGGTAACTTTCTAATGTAAGTGAAACTGATGCATATCCGCAAATGGACGCTCGACCCAAAGCAGTAAATAAAAGATGTCCGAGATAGACCAAGAGGATATAGGTGCAACAAAAAGTTTATTACTAACCCTAGTGTATACCGGAATCGAATGGGCATTATTTATAAAGCCCTTCGAGATTGCTTTACTCAACCAGTAGGAAATACGGGGAATTTCAACTAAAAACGAAATATATGAGTACTCGGAAAAGTTGTAGTCCTGGTTAACTTCCTTTTTGATATGCTTTTTATAAAAAGAAATTTTAACATGGTTTTAACAAAGGTAGTTTAATACGAATTTTGAAATACCTTTAGGATTTGAATATTAAAAGCTAAAATCCATAACAGGTATATTATATAGAGTGGAACAAAAGTCTGGGAACACCTAATTTTCTCTTAAATGAATAACCATATTGGTACAAAATTTGGGAATACCCTATTTTGGAATACGGAGATTTCAGACCTGACTCACATGATGAGTATTACTTTCCTGTCACCACACAATTCACCTCCTCATTCCAATTCTTCTCAAAATTTTCTCCACACTGATCTTCAATCTGCAACTCTGAATCCTTGCTCGTAAACTTCACCTATGTTCTTATTACCTACAATCAGTGATGGGCGCAGGGTAAATACCCGGCGGGTAGGTATTTCTAAAACCCTGGGACGGGGTAAATACCCAAACAGTACGTATAAAAGTGATACTAGTGAAAATATATCAGATTCCAAAAAAAAATAAAGAGGAAGATGATGAAATGGACGTTGAAGACGTATCATCAGACGAATCTGTCGTAATTTAGATCAGATCAAGTTATTACGATTATTATGATCAAGCAGCCCTCTGCTTCCATTGTTGCCCATTGTTGTGCTGTCTGGATCTAATTGTTGATCATTCTTTTCAAGCAACCGTATTGTCCACTGCTCATTCTTCATTCGCGCGTCATAACCCGCCGCAGTTCCACAATGCTCACTTTGCCACAATGTTGACCACATCATTTACGCCAGTTCTTCTTCATAGGTCTTCATTTCGTATGTAGTCCCTCAGAGTTACACCCAGGATCGACCTCTCCATCTAACTTTGCGCTACTTGGACCCTCTTGGCAGTGGCTATCGTTAATGTTAAAGTTTTGGAGCCGTATGTCATAATCGGAAGCACGCATTAAATGAAAGCCTATCTTGGCCTTTTCTCTTGAAGATGTCTCTAAGTTTCCTGTAGGCTGCCCATACAAGTGTGATCTTGCCGTTCAGTTCGCTTGTTTGATTATCTCTTGATACACGAACCTCATAGCCAAGATATACATAGCTGTTAACCCTCTCAGCCTCATTATCCCCAATGTTGATGTTAGAGCTGGGAACAAGATTTGTCGTAAATTTTGATTTCTCCTCGTTGATATTTAGCCCGATTCTTGCACATACCGCCTTTAAGTCCAAGGCTATCCGAACTAAGAACTATATCGTCCGCGTAGCCCAAATTATATAGGCATTTGCCAAGGACAGTACAATCTAACAGGACTGCTACATTCATTGTTGTGACAACCCGCCCGCAAAGTACGTCATACCATTTGCCACGCCCAGCTCTATGCGTTTGCTGTGTATTTTTAGAGGTTATATCGTAGACGTATTCATATTATTTTTGAAGTTTTATTTTTTTAGACGTATTAATGTCTATCATGTAACCTCTAAATTTTACAAAACACACAGCAAACGCATAGTACTCAATGACAATTAACAGGGCGTGGCAAATAATGTGACGTAGAGTGCGGGCAACCAACCCGTAGTGGACTACAAAAATACAATGCATGTAGCAGTCCTGTTAGATTCTACTGTCCTTGGGCATTTGCCATCAATGTTTATAGTGATTTAGAGTCACTAATCATCAATGTTTATGCCTTTTTGGGTCCAATCTAGTTGGTTAAATGCACTCTCCAGGACTGTGATGAACAATTTGGGTTCAACAGTGTATCGCCTTGTTTTATTCACAATCAGTACTTTACTACTTCTAATCTCTTCAGTACTTTCAAGCAATTTTACCGTCATTGTAGCATTCTTGTAGATGTTATAAATAAGTTTGGTATATTGATAATCGACTCTGCATTCTTGAAGTGCTCGCAAAACTGCCATCAACTCAATTTGAATTATATTTTATAAATACCTCTAAATACCCATCTTTGGTACATACCTCGGGGTATACAGAGTGTCCCGCAACGATTATACAAAACTGCATCAGCGTATTCTATGATCAAAAATAAACAAAAAAAGCCTAATAAACATAGGTCCGAAAATGGACCATTTTCGAGATATTCAAATTAAGTCGTTACTATGATTACGATAAGTTGTCTAATCAAAAAAAAATAATAATACTTCACGAAATTATTATTTTACTATTTAATTTAATAAAACTATTAAGTATGGCTCCTATTAATTACTCCAAGGAAGAGATGGCGGATATGGTGTATTGTTACGGACTAGCTGATGGAAATGCGTCGTTAGCAGCTCGTCATTACGCTCCCGAACAGACGATTGCCTAATAGTCACACCTTTAGCAGACTATTTCTCAGATTAAAAGAAACGGGAAGCGTAACCCACAGCCATTCCACAGAGAGACATTACACAAGGCCGGTGGAATTAGAAGAAGCAGTTTTGAGAAGAGTCATTGAAAATACCTCAACCAGCATTAGAAGAATTTCTGCACAAGAAAACATTAACAAAACCACCGTTCACCGCATTTTAATTGAGCAGTTGCTTTATCCTTATCATTACAACACCGTTCAAGCTCTAACAGAAAATGATGGCGAAAAAAGAGAGATTTTTTGTAGGTGGGCCATACAGGAAGAGGTAGTAAACGTCGACTTTCCCATAAACATTGTATTTACGGATGAAGCAACATTTACTCAAAGCGGAATTTTTAATATTCATAATGCGCACGTTTGGAGCGATGAAAATCCCCATGCAATACTAGAAACTCATCATCTGTGGCGATTCAGTGTTAATGTATGGGCTGGAGTTATAGGTGATCAGTTATTAGGTCCATTTTTTTCTTCCAAAGAGATTGACAGCCGATGCCTACATACGTTTTTTACAAAATGACCTTACAGAGGCATTTGATGAATTACCTCAACAAATTCTAGAAGATTGCTACTTTATGCACGATTATGCACGCGCTACTCGAGCATACTTAAATAACAGATTTGGCAATAAGTGGATTGGCCGAGGAGGGCCACCTCGTTCACTAGATTTAAATCCGTTAGATTTTTGGTTTTGGGGACATTTAAAACAAATTGTTTATTCTGAAGACGTTCAAAATGTGCAGGATTTGAAGAATAAAATTAGTAACGCATTTGACACAGTAAAACAAATTCCTGGTATCTTTGAACGCATTAGAAGTTCATTTAGAAAACGTATCCGTTTGTGTTTAGAAGTAAATGGTGCGCATATTGAACATTTATTATGACATGAATCTTTTCCAATTTGTTANCAATATAATATAGTAGACGCCACGAGAGCTGGCAGTAAATCATCATTTTCCGCTCTTACAAATGCCATACGTAGTTCACAAACCGCTAGAGAGTAATGTGTGTTGGAAAGAGATAGCATTAGTTTAATATGTCTGCTGTACAATTCAAATGGCCACGTCGAAAAAGTACGTCTGTTCTTCTAAGGGATGTAACTCTATAATTATAACCTCAAATCGAAACGGCTTGTGAGCGTTGTCATGAATCTGTCAGTGTTTTCACAAGCCGAAAATGTTTTCTTTGAAAGGAAAATCATTAAATAATATCTTTGACATATAACCTCCATTACTAACATAACCTACATTTAAATGTATGTGGTGAAATAATCTAAGTCGTACGTCCATATCTTGATTCATACCATTTTTAAGCGAACTGTCACTGCCAGCTCTCGTGGTTTCTACTATATCCAGGAAATTTACCCTTGAAAATAAATACCCGGGTATTTAACAACACTGCCTACAATACAAAATTGTTATGTATTTATTTAAATTATATTTATCTTTTCATAATAATAAAAAAAAATATATTAAACAAATTTATTTGTTTCAGAATCTAGAAAACTCTTCGGCGGATACAGAATAACACCACGATTTTGTAAAGCGACAAAAGAAATATCAACAGATCTAAAAGGACCAACAATGTGCATGTTTAATCATGAGTGCGTTCAAAGAAACGGTTTGGTGGTCGGAGCGTGTATGGATGGATTCCTTTTCGGAACTTGTTGTCAACTACCAGATGGAATTGCGGGTGAATTAGCACTCAGTGAACTATCATCGGCGCAAAGTCCTAACAATAATATTCAAAGTAAACCCACCGAAACGCTCGGAACGAAAGTTCGACCTGCCGTTGGTCTAATAACTTCCAGTGGGGTTTCCCAAATCACCAACTCGTTGTTGGGAGGATTACTTCCAACAGCGCAGGATAACGCAGTAGTTCAAATAGATAATCACGATAATAATTTTATATCCACCGGTGTGACACATCCAATTTCCGCCGATACGATCATACAAGGATTTAACGATATCGATCCGAACGAGTTTAAACCGGCTATACACACGACTATGTCCACAATTATAGCGGAAGAGACACCGCCTTCATTAAAATTTACTGTTACAAGTAAACCTCAGTATGTGTTAAGTGGTTCGATAACCAGACCTGGTTTCAGGCCTAAACCTCAAAAGCCCGACGGTGATAAATACGTTTTAGTGCCAACGATATTACATGAATCAAAACCAAATAAAACACAAGAATTAGAGTCTATTGTGAATATAATACAAATGTTGAACACAACCACAACTAAACAAACAACCCAAAGATATGTTCCAACTAAATCGACGCCGGTTTACATTACCTCAACGTATCGACCAATAAATAGTAAAAAACCATCAACAGCTTTCTTCAGTAGTACGATTCCCACAAAATTAACTACACAAGAACAAACCAAAAAAGTTTACGTACAAAGCTCGACTTTCCGACCTGTAACATATTCAACATTCGCAAATAGCCCGGAAGCATTCATCACGAAGAAACCCTCAACTTCATACATTTATAGTTCAACAATTAGTAAACGACCAAACACAGAAACCCCGCCACCACAATCACCTATATATTCCTCCTTCCCTAGTCCTACACCAACAGTAATCGTTTTATCCACCCCCGATTACTCAACACCTTCACCATCTCCAAAACCACCTCAAAATAAACCACCACCAAGAAAACCAATTACACAAGTAACAATTAATCAACACATAACAAACAACATCTATAATTCAAGCGAAAAACCATCACCAACAGTTTTAATCACACCAAAACCATCATCCACAACCACGTTTTCAAGTATAACTGAATACGATGAAGTATCATTCGAATCGGAAACATCACCGAATGATAACAATAATTTTCCTCCGGTAAGGAATCCGAATTTGAATATGTCCGTTTTACCGTCGATTAATGAAAATGATATAACGACTCCGGTATTTATTGAGGATGCAGCTTTAAACATTACCGTTGAATCATTTGTGAATAAGATTATACAAGGACTTCAAGAACCGTTCCATGGTTTAAAAGATATTGTGTACGATAACAGTAATAAGACATCACATTCGGGGAGTACCACAAAGAAACCGCATAAGAAAACTGGCACAACTACAAAAAGACCGGTTACTACACGTGCCACCTTAAAATCAACCACGAAAAGGCCGATTAGTACTATTGTTACGAAAAAGCCTACAACAACAATACCGAAAAAAACTAAACCAACCAAGAAACCATCATCGGTTATAACGACTACAGAAACAATTTTATCTTCCGACGAACCTTTAGATCAAGATTATCGGAGTGGTAAGTATTTGTATTCTCGTAATTTTAAAAAATAATGAACCAGAGATTCATTAAAATTTAAAGCACGGATCGCAGTAAAACTTTTATAACCTCTTTTCGAGTTCTTCGTTGATCTTTTGGCTCGAAGTTAGTTTACTCCGTTCGATAACGAGGTTATCTGTTCCCTTTTATGATCACTTCAAACTGCAAAATCCATTGGCATTAAGAGACGACATCGGAATTTTACCGATCAATATTGCGTAGCCGTAACCTTCGTAGTTGAATAAAACCCTCAACATTCAGCGGTCGTCGAGTGGCGGCTAATAAACGCAATCATAAATGTCAACTGCAGAGTTGGTGAATCGAATTACTTCCGGTAACTTCCGATTTCCCACCGTACTAAGCCCTCTGGGTACTACGGAAGGACGCAACGAAGCGAGTTTGGCTTTTGTGCAGACAAAGGCCAATCGATAGTAAAGTGACATTGGCCGTGCAGCCTGACCTATATCCGGAAATGTAGGCTGAAAGTTGCGCGCACATCAAGTTTCGTATTCACACAAAAACAAGTTATTGGGATTTTTTATGTTAACTGTTGGGATGATAATATTCTATATTCTTGTGATAAAGTTTAGTTTTATGATGGCATTTTATTTAGCTTAGGAAGTAATCGCTGAGTATTATTGCTTATTTTCTAGGGTTAATAATATTTTTTAAGAATTAATGTAGTATATTTATGTTTACCACTAAATAATAACCACCTCCGCAATTAAAAAGCTTTCGTTTTTCAGTCTGCGGCCTCCGACCTTTAGTAAGGTCGAGTAGGATCGTAGGTGGAAAGGAAGCGTCATACGGAGAGTTCCCATGGCAGGTGTTGGTCCGAGAATCCACGTGGTTGGGTCTCTTTACCAAGAATAAATGCGGAGGCGTTCTAATTAGTAATCGTTACGTCATGACCGCAGCTCATTGCCAACCTGGATTCCTGGCGTCATTGGTGGCCGTTTTCGGCGAGTTCGACATTTCCGGCAATAAAGAAGAGAAAGTACCGTTATCGAGGAATATTAAACGAGTTATCGTTCATCGCCAGTACGATCCTAACACTTTCGCCAACGATTTGGCTTTACTCGAACTCGATCAACCAGTAATTTTTGACAAACATATCAGTAAGTATACTAAAGTTTAAGGTAATTTGTTCTTAGTCATTGGGGAGAAGGTAATTAAATTTAATATTCTTAGGCCCACTTTTACCACCTCCTGATAAATTTATCCGATAGATTAATCCAGTTCTTAGCCAATGAGAGCGCTTAAAACCGCCGTAACCATGGCAACTATCCTCTAAGATAGTTTATCAGGAGGATGGTAAAAGTGGGCCTTAGGGCCGGTTTATCAATATCTAGTTAAGACGATTTATCTGTCAATTAAAATTGTAGCTGATAGATAACGTCGACGTATCGTTTATCCACCCGTAGTTTAGGGTAATCTTATAGATAAATATGACATTTAGATACCCACCAGATTGAAGTACTGGTTAAGGTTTACCTATTAGATATTGTCAAAAAAAATGTGAGCACATTTATATATATATTATATTCATAAAATCAAAATATAACGACAAAAAATAAATTAAGCTTATAATTGTGGTGATGGATAAGCAAGAGAACCATATATTTCTTTTATAATATATGGTCGTCGTTTATAATTTAAGAGTTGGACAATATCCTCATCTTTATCGCTGATAAATAAATATATTAACGTAGGAATTCCATTATAACAGAGGTTTTTGAAAACAAAGCACAATACCGAAAGCACACAGGAATGATAACCTCCAAAACACGATCAGCTGTTTATATCAACTTCATAAACTAAAGTCAATTATTCAAATTTCACCAATTACGTTTCATTTCCGTATCTAATGTTAACACTCAGGGGTACCATCTATGTTCTATCTCGTAGGTTGCTGCCTGTCGGGTAGAAAGTTGCTGGATAAACGGTTCACTGAGGTTATCTGTTAGGCAAGTTTAGCCATGAGTTGCGTATCTAACAGATTTAACTCGACATTGATAAACCGGCCCTTAGTATTGCACTTTTGAAACTGGTTTTATTATTTATTTAATTAAGTCTTACTAGTTTCGGCCCATGGCCATCTTCAGAGACTAATGTCATAAGAGTTAACTAAGATGTCACATTGCAAAGCATTAAGTGTAATTGCAAATATTTAAATGTATATGATGAATCTGAATCTAAATGTATATACAGGCTGTCCCGTTAAGCGCACGGAGCGGCTGTATCTCTAGAACGGTAAGGCCTAGAGGTTTGGGAAAAAAATTCTTATAAACAAAGTGACCAAGAGAAATAGCTGGAAATTATTTTGAAGTTCGTAATTCGACCGCTAGGGGACGTAACTGCCATTGAGAAACATAAAGTTCCCGCTATCTCAGAAACTTAGACGATGAGCTATAACTTTGACAACATCATTTAATAGCTTGGATAATACCGCATCGCTTTTGTTTTGCGATATTTCTCATATCTGTCATAATAAGGGAGGGGGAGGCCAATGCGTTTTCATATGTTTACATTTTAATATCTCCTAGACCATTCAACCGATTTGAATGTTTTCGGTGTTGTTTGAAANTAGCTTGGATAATACCGCATCGCTTTTGTTTTGCGATATTTCTCATATCTGTCATAATAAGGGAGGGGGAGGCCAATGCGTTTTCATATGTTTACATTTTAATATCTCCTAGACCATTCAACCGATTTGAATATTTTCGGTGTTGTTTGAAAGAGCCTTTTATGCTCTTTTTAAAGGTATTCAGTAAGACCATCTGCTTTAAAACAAATGAGCTAGAGGACGTTATCTGCAGCGATTACATCTGCTGACCCTTAGTCACCTTAAAATTTGCTAAATTTAAGTGAAAACCTCATCTCGATATCGGCACCCGTTCTCGAGTTATAGAAGAAAATGTTAAAAACTCGAGTGCCATCAATCCGATCCAGTTACCTCATCGAGAAAAACAAATCACATAACCATGGTAACTGTAAACATGTCATTTACTAACGCAGAAGCGTATGATGATTTATTTTCAATGTTTCGAATAAGATGCAACTGCATGGCAAAAATGTGCAATGCAACTACGACAAAGAAACACATTTTTCTCTAGAAGTGTTTTTAAGATTGACTTAGCGATTACGGAAAACTGGCAACGTGTAGCCCATTCAGACATCTGTATGAATTCGTAAATCACATTGGTGCGCAATGTGATCCCACATAATCTGGGAACTCCAAAAATAATTGTCCTCAAGAGTTCTCAAGAGAATAATATCTCCACCACGTTGTTCTACATCAGGCCTTAACAGATACCGATTATGATAACAGACTGAACTATTACCATTGACTTTTAAATATGATTTGGGCAAATCCAAAACTTTTATCACAAATGCTATAGATGCATGAAGCATCTGTCCAGAAGCTGATGTAAACTTGCATAATATGCATTCTTGGTTCGAGCAAAACCTTTCACCCCTTTATCTATTTGGGAGATTAAATGACCTGATTTTTCAAGAAATACCAATAACCAGGGAAAATATGACAAAATACTAAATACCAGTAGAAACGTGTCCAGGGCCGAGACTTAAGCAGCGCTTTTTTTTCGTCGAAACTAGATTAAATAAATGCATCGAGGTTTATGGAAGGCATTTCGTACATTAGTGAGTTATTTTTGCCAAAAATTTAAGTTATTCTATGTGTTTTGGTTTATTTTGTTTTATTATCATTGTTGATGTTTCATTGATCCGTTAGCTTTTAAACAAGCCTCAAAAGTAGTTTTGAAGCAGTTCTAAGCTTGGATAAAGTGTTCTAGAAGGTTCTAGATAATAAAATTATTGTTCTCTCTTATTTGTTTCCTAATGTAACTTGATCCGATTAAGATATACGAATTTTTAACATTTTCTTTTATAGTTCGAGAATGGATGGAGATATCGAGATGCGGTTTTCACTAATATTTAGCAAATTTTATGGTGATTAACGGTCTGTGAAGTAAATAGTACCGTTCCATTTAACTTTTTTTAAAAAATCACAAAAATATGTAACCGCTGCAGATAACGCCCTCTAGCTTATTTGTTTTAAACCAAGCGGTGTTACTGAAAATATCTTTTAAAAGAGCATGAAATGCTCTTTCAAACAAGACCAAAAATATTCAAATCGGTTGAATGGTCCAGGAGATATTAAAATGTAAACATTTGAAAACGCATTGGCCTCCCCCTCCCTTATTATGACAGATATGAGAAATATCGCAAAACAAAAGCGATGCGGTATTATCCAAGCTACTAAATGATGTTGTCAAAGTTATAGCTCATCGTCTAACTTTCTGAGATAGCGGGAATTTCAAAATAATTTCCAGCTATTTCTCTTGCCCACATTGCTTATAAGGATTTTTTTCCCAAACCTCTAGGCCTTACCGTTGTTGAGATACAGCCGCTCCGTACGCTTAACAGGACACCCTGTACATATTTAGATTCAGAGCGTTCTTTTTAACGTGTCGATCGGTTGTTTGTCGTAACCTCAAAGTAATTTTATTTAAAATATTTGCAATATGACATCTTAGTTATCTCTTATGACATTAGTCTCTGAAGATGGCCATGGGCCGAAACTAGTAAGACTGAATTAAATAAATAATAAAACTAGTTTCAAAAGTACAATACTAAGAATATTAAATTTAATTACCTTCTCGCGAATCAAACAACTGGTATAATGGATTTTAACTATAATTAACTTAGACATTGGGTTGTAATGCTAATACGAAGTATAATTTCAACTAATATCTTACATAAAATTGAATAATTCATGTTTCTCCAATATTAACGAAGCCAAAGCTTTGATTATCTGTCCAAACAAATGCAGAGTGGTACAAAAATGATTAAAACCTAAGTAACTATAACCAAAGAGTATAAGATAATAATTAATTTATTTATCTAATACAAAATGATGATAAAACAAAACGTAAGAAACGAGGTTAATGAAGAGCTAATTGAATGTCAAATCGATACTGATGGATACGACGTGAAAAGAGAGAGGGAAAGAGGTTATCGTAGAAAAGTGAAAAGTGATTTATGTAGGAGCTGCAAATTCAACTTGATGGTGCTTATAACTAGATTAAAATGTATTTGTGGTTTGTTTGATTACGATATTTACAACAATCCAAGTAATGATTTAAGTTTTTTGTAATTATATGACATCAGTTAACTCAATTTAATTTTCTTAGTTAATAAATTTTAAGTGATGTGAATTTATTAACCTTTTATCTTAATGGAAACTCTTACCAAAATTAATTTATTAGTTTACATTTAGTTCACAATCATCAGAAATCCTTATTAAACCTATGTTAACTTTGTGAAATTTGATGACACAATGAAATCTAGTTTCGCAAAGTGAACTTTAATCCAACGTTTTATCATGATTAAAGCTAAGTTTTGGCAAAGTATAACCCAACTTGTCTTTAGCACAACCGGTTATCATCTGTTAAGGCGTTATCTTAACTCACAACCTACGGCGGCCCAAATTGTATAATCAATACCATACCGGCAAGATCACGTTCTAACTTAAAATATTTTCACCATGTTAAACACGAGTAAAATCGTTTCTACTTGTCTTATTTAGAGAATTTACGATGCTCCTTTTAATACGATTTACAATTCAAAATTCATTAACTAATCCGAGAACGGTGATTAAACCATAGAATTAGAAGATAATATAAATGCGAATACAAGGAACATCGGTTGACGTTTTAATTTACTTGGGGGGTTTGCTTAATTAATGAATAATGAATGTTAAATGTCGTAGAAAGGAAAGCATGGATTACTTTTTTTTTAGTACCAATTTGTTTACCGAGGGAGGGTGAGGATTTTACAGGAAGAATGGCAACGGTAACCGGTTGGGGTCGTTTAAAATATGGCGGTGGCGTTCCATCTATTCTCCAAGAAGTTCAAGTACCAATTATGGAAAATGAAGTTTGCCAGACAATGTTCCAAACAGCCGGACACACGAAAACTATTTACGGGTCATTTTTGTGTGCGGGATACGCGAATGGACAAAAGGATTCCTGCGAAGTAAGTAATAAAGTAGCTTAACAGGTCAACACAAGGAAACTAACAGATTAATATTACCATGCGTTTAAGAAAATTGTATATAATCATTTTATTTAAAGTAGAAACTTAGTTGTTAACTGTTAAGAAAGTTAGTAGGACGTCAATAATTTTTTCACGGAAAAAACTGGGACGTTTCCTTTTTATAAAAGAAAACACTTCCTTTTCATCTTCCTTCCTTTCTATTTCCTTCTATTACTTTCTTTCGTCGCTTTTTTTTTAATTTAATCTTTTTGTGCTTGAATAGGGTGATTCAGGCGGTCCTTTAGTTCTACTAAGACCCGATGGAAAATACCAACTTGCAGGAACGGTGTCCCACGGGATTAAATGCGCCGCCCCTTATTTACCAGGAGTATACATGCGAACCTCTTTTTACAAACCGTGGATAGAGTCAATTACAGGTGTCCATTAAAACATCTAATTAACGTTAGTGCGCGATTTCAAAACATAAAGACAAGAACCACTCTTAAGTGCTGTGCAAGTGACGAACTAAACGATTATTACATAGTTGATACCTTATTCTTACTTTTTTTGTTATTGTGTATTAGTACTTTTTTATTGTTTGTAAATTGTATATTTTATGTTGTATGTAGAGTAAATTATTTATTAAATTATGATGTAAAGTTAAGGTTATTAATAAAACAAATACAACGATAACGGTGTACACATAAATTCGATCTTTTTTTCTCTATTTTAGTTTTATTTCAATTTGAGTCAATAACAAACACAAAATTTTAATAGCGGCTTAATAGAATCATAATCAATAACTTTACGATAACATTTTCGTTAAACATGGCATGCGGTAATTACAACTGAGTTATCTAAAATATTATTTCAGATAACATGCTGATTAAATTAGTGCTCACCTCCTAAACTGTAACCCTTAGCTTAATTACCTAGACTAAATCGAGGTGGGACTGTAAGGTCAGACGTACCAACCTAATTAAATCGGATGTAATGAAAAGAGTGAGCAACACTTGGTACAAAATTAATTTTCTGAGGAATTAATTAATATATATTTATATACGATTTTAATGAAACAAATTAATACATATAATTCGCAATTTAAAGTTATTTATTTCAGTTAATTATCGTATGCGAGTGCATTTGTGATGTTATTAAACAAAGCTAGACCGTGAATTATCATAGAAATCGGCACGTGAAGTTATATCATCTTAAATAACAACATATCACTAACAATTGTAAATATTTACTAACAATTGTAATTGCTGAAATTGCTAATATGAGGTGTCTTGAATAAAATTATACGGTTAATTCGTATACCTATCTTAGTTCTAGGTTTAGTTCAATAAAGATATACAACTATCTAGCGCTGAATACCAATTAAAACTAGAGCTAATACTAGCACTAAAACTAACGCTAGAACTAGAAACTTTCGGGTTTAGGCGTCTTAAGAGACGTACGGCTAAACCCAAACGTTGCTAGTTCTAGGTCTAATGTTAGTTCTACTAACAGTGCAAGTGTAAAACTAGAACTAACACTATACCTAGAACTAGAATCATTCGGGTTTAGCCGTCTTTAGAGACGTGCGGCTAAACCCAAATGATTCTAGTTGTAGGTATAGTATTAGTTCTATATTGTAACAGTGCTAGTGTAAAACTAGAACTAACACAATGCCTAAAACTAGAATCATTTTGGGTTTAGCCGCACGTCTCTAAAGACGGATAAACCCCAATGATTTTAGTTCTAGGTATGGTGTTAGTTCAAGTAATAGTGCAAGTGTAAAATTAGAACTAACACTATAACTAGAACTAGAAAGATTCGGGTCTAGCCGTCTTAAAAGATGTACGGCTAAGCCCAAATATTTCTAGTTCTAGGTCTAATATTAGTTCTAGTGAGAGTGCAAGAGTAAAACTAGAAGTACACTATACCTAGAACTAGAATTATTTGGGTTTAGCCGTCTTTAGAGGCGTGCGGCTAAACCCAAATGATTCTAGTTGTAGGTATAGTGTTAGTTCTACATAGTAGCAGTGCTAGTGTAAAACTAGAACTAACACCATACCTAGTACAAGAATCATTCGGGTTTAGCCGTCTTTAGAGACGTGCGGCTAAACCCAAATGATTCTAGTTCTAGGTATAGTGTTAGTTCTACATAGTAGCAGTGCTAGTGTAAAACTAGAACTAACACCATACCTAGTACTAGAATCATTCGGGTTTAGCCGTCTTTAGAGACGTGCGGCTAAACCCAAATGATTCTAGTTCTAGGTATAGTGTTAGTTCTAGTTTTACACTAGCACTGTTACTTTGGGTTTAGCCGTCTTTAGAGACGTGCGGCTAAACCCAAATGATTCTAGTTCTAGGTATAGTGTTAGTTTTACATAGTAGCAGTGGTAGTGTAAAACTAGAACTAACACTATACCTAGTACTAGAATCATTCGGGTTTAGCCGTCTTTAGAGACGTGCGGCTAAACCTAAATGATTCTAGTTCTAGGTATAGTGTTAGTTCTACATAATAGCAGTGGTAGTGTAAAACTAGAACTAACACTATACCTAGTAGTAGAATCATTCGGGTTTAGCCGTCTTTAGAGACGTGCGGCTAAACCCAAATGATTCTAGTTGTAGGTATAGTGTTAGTTCTACATAGTATCAGTGGTAGTGTAAAACTAGAACTAACACTATACCTAGTAGTAGAATCATTCGGGTTTAGCCGTCTTTAGAGACGTGCGGCTAAACCCAAATGATTCTAGTTGTAGGTATAGTGTTAGTTCTACATAGTATTAGCAGTGCTAGTGTAAAACTAGAACTAAGACTATACCTAGTACTAGAATCATTCGGGTTTAGCCGTCTTTAGAGATGTGCGGCTAAACCCAAATCATTCTAGTTCTAGGTATAGTGTTAGTTCTACATAGTAGCAGTGCTAGTGTAAAACTAGAACTAACACTATACCTAGTACTAGAATCATTCGGGTTTAGCCGTCTTTAGAGACGTGCGGCTAAACCCAAATGATTTAAGTTCTAGGTATAGTGTTAGTTTTACATAGTAACAGTAAAACTAGAACTAACACTAGACACGAAAAAATGTTTCTAGTGCTAGGTCTAGTGTTAGTTCTAGTTTTAATTGTTATTTAGCGCTAGATTGTTGTATATTTTTATTGGAGAAGTTGAAAGGTTAAATATACGTATTAGAAAAGTTCGTAGATTAGATTATATAGTAGAACAAGAATCATTTGGGCTTAACCGTCCTAAGCGATGTACAACTAAATCCGATTTTTTCTAGTTCTAGATCTAGTGTTAGTTCTACTTTCAGTTAACTAAACGATACTACACTCAACTAAACGATAAGATAACAATGTTCACCATTTCAAATTTTTAAACAATCATATTATTCCTTTCTATCATAATTATAACAATGGTGAAGGCGCCGGGAAAAATTTAATAAATATAAAAATTACACCTTAATTTCCATAATCTCAGTCAACTCGTAATTTATGCTGAAAGTTGTGGACTTTGTGCTCGCTGACGTGTCATACGTCAAAAAGAAAGAAAAATAATTATGGAATAAATGAATGAAAAATGTAAAAAAAACGACCTAAATAAGTTAATTCAAATAAAATCCTTTTTTTTTTCTAACATATTACTTTACATTAAATAATTAATAACTAAATAATTATAACTGTTAATAACTTTTTTTTTAATAAAAACATTGAAATAGTGTTTTTGATGGGACATGGGAATTATGAAAAGCTAGTTTTAATTATCTTTCGATCAGTAGACTGTGAGCTAATCCCAAAAGATAGAAGGGATGTAAAAATTAAAAAAAATCTCCACCTGAATAATTAATTACCCCCAGGAGGACTAATTCTATCCTTTACATATGCGTTTACGTCCTTGTCTCCCTCCCACATTTACCTACGCGTAACAATACTGCGTCAAGGAAAATGAGGAGGTCGATTTTGTTCAGAATTTACGAGAAAAATTAAATTCAAACTGAATTGTCCCGTATGTTAAACGCAAAAAATCTCCTTGACTCTATAATTACAAGCACACATAACATTCTTTTTCTTATTTAAATTTTAAATATGTGCCAGGAATTAAATAGGTCTGGGTTAACTCTTGCATGAATTAAGCAAACTCCGCAAAGCTCCTCATATTTGAAGCGAAAACTGACGCTTGCAAATATTTTCCCTAGATAATATGACATCATTACGGCTTACTTAGTAGTTTCCGGTATAATAACAATATATTGAGCAAATTACAAATACTTTATGAAAATTATCTCGGTATTTGCTATAAGCAACAAGTTTGGAAGCCTGTAAATCATATTCAAAGCTTAGAAAAGCTCCTTCAGCATGTGAAATATTTCGAATACGACCACCCACGGTTTTCAGTTCGTTTCAGGGCGAAGCTTACCGATTTCAGCCGAGCATTGTCCAATATAACCGAAAGCTGCCATATAGATCGAGTCTACTGCAACACAGCGTCGTCGGGTAAAGCTCATTCCTACAACTATCGCGCTTTAAAGCTATATTCGGTGAAAATTTGTGTAACAATAAATTAATCGCTTATCAATAAGAAAAGGTAAGTTAATTATTATATTTCTTTGAATTTTTCATGCGTTATTTAAAGATTTCATTGAAACTTATATGTTCTTAAACACTTTTATGTTGAAGTTTTAAATAAAATATATTAAAATAAAGTGATGTCAATTATAACTATTTAGGTAGATAACGATAGGGTTTTTAAATGTAAATTAGTAGTATTTACAGTGCAAATACTTCGTGTTCGCGTATGTAAATGTGCGTGGTACAAGTACAAGGGGCGTGATGAAATTCATACAAATTGTACGTTATTTGTTGAACGTCGCGTCCCGACGCAATATATGCACATTTCTAGGAAGGTAACCACCAAATAATTCCACTTGAAAAATTTTACTTGAATTCATTTTACCTACGACCTTTCATTATGACCTTAATACATTTTTAAATAGATTAAAATTTTTTTTTGACTTTTTAGAATTTTAATGAAGCTTAATAATGTTAGTTACATCATAATCTGCCTTACTTTTTCTTTATTTTTTAGGTTTACTTCGCCTTTTTCATCCAACCAAAATACCCTTTTTTTTTAAGTTTATTTTTTGACTCTTAATAGATGTTCATTTTCTTATCTTAAATCAAAAGAGTAGAGTCAAATAGAGTCTTTCTATTTTATGATGAACTACAAATACTGTAAGGTTTGATAGCAAGAAGCACAAGAAAAAAATCCTAAACATCAAATTAATAAAAGATGTTATTTTCGTATTCTCAAAAAAAAAAATATAACCTTTCAACAAAATTATTAATCGATGATATATATTTTAAATTAAAGCTAAAACACTCTATTTTACGACGAATCATAAAAACTATGTGATTTGATAGCAAGAAGTACTAAAAAAAGTCTTATAATTCGTTTAAGTGCTTTAAACATTCCTTCGTCCATAGCTATATGTCCCCATAGCAGGATGTTATAACAGAATGCGTAATAGGGACTTAAAAGGAAATCGTAGTTCAAAGCTCTTCTTTGAAAATATCTAATAACTAGATTATAGCGATTAGAATATCTGCTTTGTAGGTAAAATACGATATGTTGCAGAAATATATGCAGACATATTATCTATTCCATTAGAAACCTGATGGTTATAATTGTTGCCAAACTACTTTCCTACAAACAACAGAAAATAGAGATGTCCAAACGGTTAGTGTAAAACTTTTGGAGCATCTCTCATCTGGATAAAAATATCCAACAGTCTAGAGCTGAAAAACAAATAAAAGTAGACCAACACTAGCACTAGAACTAACACTAGACCTAGAACTAGAAGCATTCCGTTTAGCCGTACCCCTCTTAAGACGGCTGGTAGATGGTAGGTAGTGCTAGTTAGCATAAAATACCTAGAAACATTCGGGTTTAGCCGTGCGCCTTCAGAAACTTTCTAGCTCTAGGTCTAGTGTTAGTTCTAGTTTTAATTGTTATGCGGCGCTAGATTGTTGTATATTTTTATTGAACTAAAAGTAGAACAAACATTAGACCAACAACTAGAATCATTCGGCTTTAGCCGTCTTATGAGACGCACGGCAAAACCCGAATGTTTCTAGTTCTAGGTCTAATATTAGTTCTAGTGACAGTGCAAGTGTAAAACTAGAACTAACACTACACCTAGAACTAGAAACATTCGGGTTTAGCCGTCTTTAGAGACGTGCGGCTAAACCCAAATGATTCTAGTTCTAGGTCTAGTGTTAGTGCTAGTTTTACACTAACACTTTTACTATGCAAACAACATTCGGGTTTAGCCCGGCGTCTAAAGCAGTTCTAGGTTCTAGTTTTAATTGTTATGCAGCGCTAGATTGTTGTATGGTTTTATTGAACAAAGAGTAGAACTAACACTAGACCAATAACTAGAATCATTCGGGTTTAGCCGTGCGTTTCTTAAGACGGAAACTCAGAGTTATCATAAGGACGCCACCTTTTTCAAGCAAAACTTTTCCTTTTCCACCCAATACCTTTACTATTTAGTTATGTTACATTTTATGTGGGACAGTGCAAGTGTATATATACTTGCACTATACTCAATACTAGATACGCTTCGTTGGTTTTTCGGGTTATATGCGTCTTAAATTTGATGTCTAAATCTAAATATTAAGACAGAGCATAACAAGAAATGATTGCCTTAGATCAATCTAATGGATACATATAATCTTGAAATTCATCTCGAAAATTCACATTTTTATTGCTATCAAAAAACTTTATTATGAAAACACTCTATACTAGTTAATAATAACTTGTAATGCATCAAAATTGGTAAAATCTCCATATGTGCAAAATGTTGGGTAAAATTATTATAACAGCATTCCTTGAATGAAAGATCAAATAAATCTGGTATTTGAACTTACAACAATATCTATCAATGCTATAACCACGCGTAATACGAGTAGTTAATTATCAAGTTGAACTAAACCAAAATTAACAGTATATTCACCTTCGTGGTAGAATCAATCAATATTCAAATCACATTACCTTATAACTAAGCTTAAGTAGGTGTCGATAAAATCAAAAACTTATTGGAGAATATTCTAAAAATGAAAATGTAATTATTATTTATCCATAAATTAATATATATTCATTAATATTTATTTCAGCGTCAACAAAATGAGGGCATTAATAGCACTTATAGCCATTTGTTTGGTTGGGAGACAGGTTGACGCATGGGGAGGGCTTTTCAATAGATTTTCCCCGGAAATGTTAGCGAACATGGGATACGGAGGCCACGGCAATTTCATTCCGGTAAGTAATTAATTACAATTAATACAAATTTATCAAAACAATAAATCTATAAATAAAAATTTATTATCGAATTCTATTACGACGTTATAAACGGCTTTCTCCACTACCACAAATCGAACTAACATTTATACTAATTAAGCACGTTATAAATTATTGAACTGTGAATTGAGTCGCGGGAATATTAATTTTCCAATTAAAATTATCTGTATATTTCAAGTAACGATAATTTTGAATGAAAAATTGGTTTTTATCTAAAAATAACTAAAAAGTAAAAAATCGATTGATGGAATAAAGGACAAAATACCTGACTGCCTTTGAAAGCGCCACGAATACTCTCCCATTGATTTCGGTCGAGCAAAAATAGAACATAATGCAGCCACAACTTAATGGTTTGGTCTTGCTTTATCGATTTCAGAGAACCGGCGACGACAACACTATCGAAGAATTCGAGGTGGAAAGCGATGACGAACCTTGTTACGGAAGGCGGTGTACTTCAAACGAACACTGTTGTCCAGGATCCGTTTGCGTCGACGTTGATGGAGGTAAATCAGCATTTTCAAACGTTATTTTACGCTTTCAAAAAATTGCGCCTCTAGTAAAATATTTCATTCCATCATATTCGAAATGTTTACAATTTTCCTCTTTCATTTTCTCAGATATATTTTTCATGATTCAAAATTCCAATTTCCCGGAGCTGTCTTTTTGTGTCAATTCAATCTCATCTTACATTTCAATTTCAGTGATCGGATCCTGCTTGTTCGCCTACGGACGACGTGTGGGTGAATTGTGCCGTAGAGATAGCGATTGCGAATCTGGATTAGTTTGCGCCGATAATGAACAGGGAGTTTCTACTCGAGTATGTAGACCTCCGGTACAACAAGACAAACAGTACGCCGAATTATGCAACATGTCTAGCGAATGCGATATTTCCAGGGGACTTTGTTGCCAATTACAAAGACGTCATAGACAAGCTCCCAGAAAGGTAAATACAATTTTCATCAAACAATTAAAAGTTAATTATTTAATGAATTTTGTCCACGACTACCTTATAATAATGGTAGTCATTTTTCACGGAGTGAATAATAGCGGTGAATAATAATCATTATCCACGGGTAGCCATCTTGACCATAATAATAATTATTTGAAACGTTAAAAGTTCAAAAAACGTGAATATAATTCAATTTTTTAGGAGTTTCTAAATGTTTGACATTAAAAAAACCTAAACGAATTCCTTTTTTCGTATGATTTAAGCATAAATTAATTAATTTTCCTAAAGAAAACGACGTTTTATAAAACTGATTATTTAATTTTGACAAATTGTTGTGAAGTTGGTTACAGTTAGTAACATTGAATTTGTGTCACATTGACGTTTAACCTTTATCCAAAAATTTATTTAAAATAGTATATTATTATATGAGCATATAATAGGGGCTATTATTCACGAAGGTTAAGTTTATGTCACGAGCGTAGCGAGTGGCATAATTAACCAGAGTGAATAATTGCTCATTATATGCGAGTAGAATACTATACTTTATACACGACTATTGAAATTGATTCCATAAATTTATTTTTTAAATAAATTTTTGAATAGAGGTTAAACGTCAATGTGACACAAATTCAATGTTACTAACTGTAACCAACTTCACAATAATTTGTCAAAATTAAGTGTCAGTTTTATAAAACGTCGTTTTCTTTACGAAAATTAATTAATTTATGCTTAAATCGGTTTTTTTAATGTCAAACATTTAGAAACTCCTAAAAAATTGAATTAAATTGACATTTTTTGAACATTTAACGTTTCAAATAACTATTATTAGTCTGGTCAAGATGGCTACCCGTGAATAATGATTATTATTCACCGCTATTATTCACTCCGTGAAAAATGACTACCATTTTGTTTTAGAAAACTCATTCATAAGGTATATATTATAAGGTAGTCGTGGGCAAAATAAATTTATGGAATCAATTTCAATAGTCGTAGACAAAGTATAGTATTCTACTCGCATATAATGAGCATATATGAGCATTATATGCTCATATAATAATATACTATTAACGAATGCTGTTATGTTTGTTTTTCATTAACTTAGATAAAACTAAGAGATAATAAACTATGATTTTTAGCATTAATTAAAATGTTATTTAAAGTGCAAAAAAGTTTTATGCTCATTTTAAAGTTGTTTTTAAATTTTTATAATTAATATTTAAACTGGGATTTTAAATAGAATATGTCGGAGCTTTTGAATTAAAGGTACAAATAAGGCAACAATAAGGGCTTGTAACCAGTGAATATACTAGGGTTGTGGAGCTCCTACAACATTATAAAAACAAGAAAACTGCTTAGATCTACTTAGTCGAAATTGTCTGTAAAACGGTCTGTAGCTCGTCGATAACAATTGGATGTGTGCTACTTCATCCATCTTTCCTTTCTCGTCATTCAAAACTAAGCAAACACAACTGTAAGTTTGGTAATTGTAGAAAACAATTTATTCTTTGAAACAAATAACAAAAAAAAACAACAAAAACGAGTATTATTTTAAGAAAAATTAAACAATTATTAGATCGAATCTAATGAATTTTCAGACAGCTCTGACAAAGTTTCCAAATCACTGCATTCAATCACTTCAATATCAGAAAGGTCTTCATTGCCTTCATTAACCTCCACATTGGTGGCAGAATCTAATAATTTTAAATTATGAGGAATGACAGTTATTTTATCAGCTCGTTCAGCCGTAAGCCGATTTCTTTTCGCAGTGTGAATAAAGCTGAAGCTTTTTTCTGTTGCTGCACTCGACGCAGGCATACTTAGTATCTTGCCCGCTACTTTACTTAATATCGACCCAAAACAAGTCCCCTTCCACCATACAACGGGATGTAGTTTTTGCACGAATTTTAAAACATATGGTTTTCCAAATAACCCTTCTTCAGATCGATAAAAGGGCAATTCTGTCATTACCTCTGCACACTCGTCTGGACTTGTTACAGAAATATTTGCAGCAATATGGATTGGATTTATTGCCATTAGCTTTCTGTTAACTAAAAATTTTTTTAGTTCCATTTCCTCTTAGTTAAGCAAAGGGCTTAAAGTAAGGGTTGTTTCAAAATGACCTTCCAACTCATCAAAGCATTCAGGCTTAACCTTGGTTTATCTCCTTCCAGTTGGGTTATGTAGTTAACAATAGGGTTACTGAGGTGATAAAAATTTGAAACTTTACCCATAAAAAATCTTCATCCAACTTTGCAACTCATTTACTGAGTATATCTTCAACTGTTTCACAAACTTGTTTTTAATACATATTTTGTATCAAGAAGATCGACATGGTGTGAGTTTAAAAGAAGGGAAGAATTTAAATTTTAAAAGAAGATGACAGCCTTAACATATTCCATAATAGTAGACATGGTTTTCATTTTTGAAATGCCTACAATTAACAAATTTAACGTATGAGCAATGCATCCATAAACAGAAATATCTTTGTACTTTTCATGAAGTATATTTCTTGCTTTAACCATTTCACTAGCATTATCGGTTACTATACCAAAGAATTTTTCAGTACCAACTTCTCTCAAAGTTTCATTGATTTTTTCAGCAATATATTCTTATCAACAAATTTTTGTTAGCAAAGTTTTATAAAACACAAGGTTTGGTATAGTAATAATGAAGTTAAGTATAGATTCGTTCCTTTGGTTGCTCCTACCATCACACTGTAAGCTAAGAGCATTCGCTTCTCCAATTTTCATTTTAATGTCTGCATCAACTTTTTCATACTCGTCCAGTAATTTACTTGATAATACATAACGTGTAGGCATTTTGAAAGATGGTCTCAAATGTTTGAAAAATGATTGCCAATGATTATTTTTAACACCCCAAACTAATAGGTGTGAACCTCGATGAGAAAATTACCTCGGAGAATGTTCTAGTGGAGAATATGTTCGAAAACGAGAATATTCTTCTCTTTCATCTCTAGCTACAACGTCGACTTTGTCAGCGCAGCAACGAATTTAGATAAAAAATTTCAGTTCTATCTTTTTACAAGAAATCGTTTATTTATTTTCGAGCTCTATATTATTACTACTAATATATGATGAATAGGTATATGTGCGAATATTGTATATTAAACCTGATTTAGTTTGTATATTTAATTTGCATAGTATGTTATTAAAATAAACTGCTGGTGTAATTAATTGATGAATTACAAAGATATTATTATTACCAAGCATGTTATAACAACATGAATTCCAAATTTACGGAAAATATCTCCATTAAACTTGTTAATGAACTCGTCAACCTATTGATTACTTTTATACAGTGTAACAGTAATGAGTACCAGTTACATGTAACACAACTAATTAATTTTATTGTTTTGATAACAATGAGGTTGCGTTGGAATATTCAATGTTAGGTCAATATGTGACTAAATATCTATATTATCTTTATTTTTGTGTTGTTTTGCAGGTATGTTCTTACTTCAAAGATCCTTTGGTGTGCATAGGACCTGTGGCAGCTGATCAAATAAAGAACGTAGTTCAACATACCGCTGGTGAAAAGCGTCTAACTGGAATCGCTTCTTTCAAGAGGCAAATGCATTAAGCAGAAGAGGAATAAAAAATAAGAAAGCGTCCCATCAGTCCCTGAATCTTGAAATAATCCGGAGTAAGCTGCCCAAACAAACCCCCAAAAAAACATCTACAATGTACCTTCGTAGTTTACAAAGTTTCATGTCAATCGGTGCCCCATTTTCTCGTCCAGCTTGCTCCCGTAAATCCCCCTCTTAGATCCTAAAAAGTGTAAATCGAACCGACGTATTAGTGTTAAAGTAAAACTCTATTTGGCTGAGGCATTTATATAGTATATTCGTGCGTAAGATCTTTTTCGACGAGTTTTAAAACCATAAAATCTCTGGCCTAGATTAGAGAATACATAATACAAGTAACAAAAACTTAAAAAAAATGAATTTGTATTTCCCGGAGATTTTAAGAAAATTATAAATACATATAAATAATATACTCCGGAAGAACGAAGTACGCGGAAACATATCTAAAAAAATAGGAGCTAGGCACAAATATTGCGATTCTCGCATATGCTCTGTTGTATGTGTATGCGTCTATAGGACGCATATGTGTTTCAGATTTAACCGTCTATCTGTGATGTACTATGTCTGTTTGCGTAATGCAAAGCGTTTGTTCGAGCTAATCAAAAAAAAAAATAAACACACGCACATTGAAAAATGAACTTGGAATCATCCCCCAAAAGAAAAAAGTTAACGGATCGACAGCGTATAAATTACGGTTAAGAATTGGATAAAGAAAAGTTAAAGAAACTCCTGCGCAGAGTTTGTCTCGGCGTCACGAGAAAGATACATATCATACTATACATATCAGATATATTTAAAAAATTATATTGGTGTTAAATTATACTGTCGTCTATAAATCAATAAATGTCTAAGCAAACAACTCGACTTTACTTATTTAAATTATTTATTGTGCAAATAATTTAGTTCTACTTAATGTACAGTGTGTCTCTCCGTTATTCTGAAAGATAGAAAGTTGCGACATTCGCGAACCTGAGCTACTTTTTTGTAAAACTTACAATGGCGCAAACCAAATTTTCATAGCCCTTTTTTGGTTTTTGATATACAGGGAGTGTTTGAAATTTACGATTTTCAGACACACCTGTATCTCGGCTGTACAGGTGGTCAAATTTGGGTGTTATTATAGGCTATCTTAGAAACTATAAGAGATACGAAAAAAGTGGGTGCCATGTCTCGGTCTCTTTTTCCGAGACTAATCCAATTCCGCAAAGACCAAATCTCTATCTTCTTTTATTTTTAAGTTATAACCAAAAAGTCAAATTTGAGCGATTTAAAAAAATGTTGATATATCGTTTATTTTGGAAATTAGAGGAATGGGGTTAATACGTTCTTAAGACACATTTTTGAGTAGAATATACTGCTGTTGAAAAATTTTAAACATAGCTGATAATTTTTGAGATATAACATAAAGTTGTATTTTTTTAAATACAAACTATAGTTTATTATGATGTTACTGAAAAGAGCATATTTTTAGCTTTCCAATGATGTATCACACGCATGATGTATCTGCATAAAATAAGCGTTATTTTTCAATTCTAAAATATTAAAGATTAAAATTTAAATTTTTAATTATAGTAGGCGAGGAAAACGCTAAATGCTATTTAGTTACTATAGCAACGTGAGTTTACTTGTCATTTCATTCATCAATTTTGCGAAACGATCTTTAAATAAAACGATAAAATTAAATATACAGTGTGTCCATAAAGTAATGGATATAGGCGATAAAATCATAATAAACGGTTTATGGAAAAATCCCTGAAACGGGTCTAAAGATTTAAATTTTTTGGTGTAGATTTCAAACTTTTTCCGCCATTTTTAAACGAGTTATGGCGTCATCGAAATTTTTTTAAATGGCAATGCTCCATTTTTATTGCGGAATATGAAAGAGGATTTACTTCTGAATGTAGTACAGTCAATATTAATATTGGTTATATAAGAAAATTTTCGAGAAAAATTACTTCAAATTTGTATAATGATAAAAATAGCAGTAGCGATGAGTAACTATGGTAACCAATTATTCAACAATTCCCTGAGTATTAAAAACTGCTTTCGTAAAGCTTCTTGAAGTGTAGTGGCACGCTATCTTGTTGGAATAACTGCCGTTGGAATTGAGGTGTGTCAACATTATCGGGATGGAAGGAATGACATCGCTTTGAAAAAATTTAAACATCTCTTTCCACTTAAGGTTTCCTCAAATCTTTGGCGGATATTGAGTGTGCGACTTTCTTGGTTAATTTGGATTTTGGGTAGCGCAATACCGACAATTTTGTCTATTTACTTGTCTACTCAATTTAAATGCCCCTTCGTCGAAAAAATTATGTTTTTGACAAAGTCTTCGTCATCGTTGCAAAAACTACGATTCATTGCTCGTGAATCAGGTTTACTTTATGGGAATGACATTTTGCGGGTTTTAAAATTTTATGAACCGTTGATTTACTAATGCCGAAATTAGACCCAGTAACATGAGGGTTTTCTTGCCCAGCCAAAACCACGATTTGTTGAACTTCCCTTGCAACATTTAGTAGGCCAGACTTCGAGAAATGCTTCGAGAGATGGCCATGCTGTCAAATTTAGTTACAGCTAGGCTCACCATACTTTGGCTAATGAGTTGGCGATCAAGATATGTTGTATTAAAGAGGTCAACTACTTACTACATCAGTTTTTGACACTTAGGAAATTGTTTAAAATAATTGGTTACCATAGTTACTCATGGCTACTGCTATTCTCATCATGTCAACAAATCTGAAGTAGTTAAACTTTAAAGTAAATTTTCTTATGTAAGCAATATTAATATTGACTGTATTAGATTCAGAAAAAAATCTTCTTTCATATTCCGTAATAAAAATGAAGGATTGTCATTTGAAAAAATAGCGATGACGTCATAACTCGCTTAAAAATGGCGGAAGAAATTTAAAATCTACACCAAACAATGTGTCCCATGAAGTCAAACATTTTGAAACTTTGTGACAGAATCAGACAGAATTAAAACGCTATCAAAATACACTCAGTAAAGGCCTTTGGAATAAAATTTTAGCAAAATATGCAATCCCCCTATTTTCGCATAGTCTAAATGTCAAAAAAGATGCTAATTCAAAAATTCCTGGAAACCGTGTTTATTGAAATTAAGAAATAAAACTTATTTTAAATTGAAGCTTGAAGCTTTCTGTTTAAATCGATGTATAACAATCGATGGGTTGAATTAAAAAAATATTGAGAAAAAGAGTATTGAGTTAAAACTAACATTTTCGTATAACCTAAAAGTGTCAAAAAAGATGCTAATTTAAAAATTCCTGGAAGCCGTATTTATTAAAATTAAAGAATGAAACTTATTTTAAATTAAAGCTCAAAGCTTTCTCTTTAAAATGATGTATAATAATTGTTGGGTTGATTTGTAAAAATATAGAGAAAAAAAAGTTGAAATAAAACTTACATTTTCGTATAACCTAAGAGTGTCAAAAAAGATGCTAATTTAAAAATTCCTGGAAGCCGTATTTATTGAAATTAAAGAATGAAACTTATTTTAAATTAAAGCTCAAAGCTTTCTTTTTAAAATGATCTGTAATAATCACACCTAGTAACCATTTATCAAAGAAATACCTTTTTGAACAACAAAATTCAACAGCACCACTTTTCACTAAACTTCTAACCTCACATCTGGATGAATAAGTTTAAAGTGTACCTGAAAATCCTACAGTGCGGATTGCGACGTTTTTTATACAGATTCTCTCTTGTATACACTTGTATAGTAGAAAGTACCGACAGCTTTAAATGCGCCGAATAGATAACTACAGTTTAAAATGAGTGTTTAAAATTACCGGTACTTTAAAGTGCCGTCGGGACACAAAGAGTTAATCCCTTACGACCTGTAAATAACCTTTTAAAGTATTCGATAAATAAATAAATAATTACATACATTTTATTATAAATAAATATTAACGATTTTTCGCTGCTTAACCTATCCTAAATTTGACAATGTTTGACATATTATAACCTCCATTACTAACCTAACATACATTTAAATGCATGTGGTGAAATAATCTAAGTCGTACGTCCATATCTTGATTCATACCATTTTTAAACGTCAAATCACTGCCAGCTTTCGTGGTTTCTACTATAGAAAGTATCGGGTCTAGAGACGCACGGCTAAACTAGAACTAGAATGTTTCTAGTTCTAGGTCTAGTGTTAGTTCTAGTTTTAGTGGGATAAAAATATGCAATATAGTGATATCTTGTGCTAACTAGCGTTACTTACCACCGTCACTAGAACTAACAGTAGACCTAGAACTAAAAACATTCGGATTTAGCCGCACGTCTCTCAAGACGGCTAAACCCGAATGATTTTAGTTCTAGGTAATTCTAGGTGTTAGTTTTAGTGATAGTGCTGGTGCAATACTAGAACTAACACTAGACCGAGAATTAGAAACATTCGGATTTTGCAGCACGTCTCTCAAGACGACAAACCAGAACGATTCTAATTCTAGGTCTTGTGTTAGTTCTAATGTTAGTGTAAAACTAGAACTAACACTAGAGTTAGACCTAGAAACATTCGGGTTTAGCTGTGCGTCTTCATACGCTGTTTCTAGTGCTAGATCTAATGTTAGTTCAATAAAAATATGGGACAGTGATATCTTATATTAACTAGCGCTACCTACCACTGTCACAAGAACTAGCATTAGCACTACAACCAGAAATATTCAGCCATGTTGCATTTATGTGGTACAAAGTTAGTAGGTACACCGTGGTTTCTATGGAAATATATTCTTGCATATTGCCTTTTAAGTGAAATTCACTGTATACAGGGTGATTCAAAAAACCGCTGACATACTTCTAGAGTAGATAATACATGAAAAATTAAGATGAATAGTCTTAATATACATGGGGTCGCAAATGCCTCGTTGGCGAGATATAGCAGATCAAAGTTTCTTTAAAATTAAACATTATCTGCTATAAAAAGTGAAGTTGAAAATATTTTTAAAAAAGGGCTTTTTATTGCAGATAATGTTTAATTTTAAAGAAACTGACCCGCTATATCTCGTTAAGGAGACATTTGCGACCCCATGTATATTAAAACTTTTCATCTTAATTTTTGATGTATTACCTGCCCTAGAAGTCTGTCAGCGGTTTTTTGAATCACCCTGTAGAGAGTCATCTCCCAGAATTAGATAAAGAAATGTCAAAGTCATGCGTAGAGTTTGTCTTGGCATCATGAGAAAGATACACATCATACTATACATATCAGATATATTTAAAAAATTATATTGGTTAAATTATACTGACTTGGTTTATATCAAAAATATCTAAGAAAACAACGCGACTTTACTTATTTAAATTATTTATTGTGTACACAACTATAGTATGTCCACTAATAATTACAGTACCAGTTAGATTAGTAAAACAAAAAGAATATAAAATGGAATGGAAGGCACTTCTAAATTAACATACTCTATTAGATGTTTAAAAAAGAAAATAAATTGACCACGTAAATAAATAAATGCTTTTAAATCAATAAAATTTAAGAAACAAAAGCATCTACCCTGACATAATTAAACGAACGAAATCTTCATAGTTTACATTTCCCTGAGAATCCTCTTGACCTTGCAATAATTGTTCAACTTCATCATCAGTTAATTTTTCTCCCAAAGTCGTTAGTAAATGTCTTAATTCAGCTGAACTGATATAACCGTTTCCATCTTTATCAAAGTGACGTAAACCTTCAATAAAATCATCCGCGGTGTCAGCGCTTCTTGACTTAGAAATTTGCTATGAAAAAAAATTATTACAAGAAAATTATGATGAAAAATACACTTTACTTACTTGATAAATTGGTAAGAAAACTTCAAAAGAAACCCTCTCACTAGATTTATGTTGATGTGTATATTTTTTAACATCAGATTCTGTTGGGTTTTGTCCCAAAGCTCTCAAAGCGTCGCCAATTTGTCCAACATGAATTTTTCCATCCCCACGATTATCAAATAATTGAAAAGCCTCTTGGAATTCTATCAAAAACAAAAAATAAATAAATCAAATACAACAAAACGGAGAATAATAGGAAAATAAAATTATAAATAGCTCCACCTTCTACTGAAGTTAAAGATAATTTACTTGGACGTTCGTAAAGATACATTTTTGAAATTTACCAATGAGTGTTAAGAATAATACTGAGTGTGATGGTCATCTGGTCTTGGAAGACCTACTTCCAAGTGCCCACTTTCAAAATCTGACCATATATGGTCTGTAAGTAACTGGGTGATTCATTGTGGGGATATCGTTCAGGTTTGGTTTACACAACTGGTTTGTATAAAAGATAAGAAAATTTTATGATAAATATAGGTGGAGTCCTCAATCAATGGCAAGAAATTCGAAAATTTTAAATGAAGCATCCCATATTTTATTAGCCTACCAAATTCTCTACATCAATCATTCATAAACCTTTCTATAGCTATTTGTTGTGCTTCCCTTAAATTAGGAAATTTATCAAAACATGCATGGAATGCCAGAAGAGGTTTGTATAAGTAAACCCTAGATATTCTTAGAAATTACTTCATCACAGGATGAGTCATAAATGTTTTATCAGCTCATTTAAGGAATACTTTTTGATAAAGCAACGAATTTTTACAATTAATTTTATTGATTTGATACATTTTTGACTCTCTTTAACAATAGAACTGAACATAAACATCAAAATCTTTGCCAAATATTTTAATAATCTACTTTTCAGCACACAATGCATAAAAAATTTTCCTCAATGTAATGAATCGTGTAAACAGGACTTTATCTATCTCCCACTACTTTAAAAAAAGAAAATAAAACATGATAAGAGTTAAAAAAAGTGTTGTCTATAAATCTGTACATAATTACATCATTTATAGTTTTTATATTAAATATTATTAAAAGAATATAAATAAAAGTAAATTATCATACGTGTCGGTTTTTTGTCAATATAGGCGGGGTAACTTAACCTAGATTTTAACATAAAACGTCACTTACCGGCCATCTGGTCCTCAGTGTAGTTAGCCTGCAACAAAGAGGAAAGATTTTAATGAATTTTATCACGAATTGAGTTAAATTTAACGTAAAATAACGCGATTTATTTAATAAAAACAACTTTATTAGACTCACCATTGTGTACGAAGCAACTATCCAACTGTCAAATAATACTTGGCACGGGTGACGTGAGTCGATTTGAATGCGGTTAGCGTGAATCCGCGGGAAGTTTAAATACCCCGGACGGGAGTAAAGTTAAAAATAAAATCGGGATGAGAAACCCTTTTCGATCGGTTTGAAATAGTTTTACTAAAGATAGAACTTTAGATGAAAACATTTTTTAGAAAACATAAACAGCGTCTACGGCTCAAAAAGGAGACTGTAAATGAACTTTGTGTAGCGATTTTCCAGACATTGTTTGTGTAATTATCCAGAAATAGATGTACATATAAAATAGATCGGTTTCAACTTGTGGAGAAGTCGAAAGAGATCTTGCTGTAATATGTATAGTGAGAAAATTTATTTCGAAATGAATTCCATATTTGGTAACTGAATTGCTTTGTATGTGTGTATTTTGAGTTGCCTATATTGCAGAGAATAAATATAAAAATTGTAAATTTTTAAAAATCTATTAATTAAATTTTTTTTGAACACTAAATATTAAAAATTATTATACTTTTGTTCCGGATACCATGCGACTTACTCATATAAACAAAAAAATAAACAAAGCATTAAAGTCGAGAGAAAGAATATATTAGATCCGGATTAACGTTGTTTTATGACCAACTCGCGATAACAAAGGAAATTATATACAGTGCCTTTCAAAAGTAACGGATAAATTCGATAAAATTATTATAAACAATTTATGAAGAAATCGACTAAAGATTTAAATTTTTTACAATTTTTTCGTGTATATTTTAAATTTTTTCCGCCATTTTTAGACGAGTTATGACGTCATCGAAGTTTTTTTTAAATGGAATACCCCATTTTTTATATCGGAATTTGAAAGAGAATTTTTTTCTGAATTATGTACAATAAATATTAATATCGGTTACATAAGAAAATTTTCGAGAAAAATTAATTTAAAGTTTTATTATTTCTCATTCATTTGATATAGAAAATAGCAGTTGGTTGCCATGGTTACGCACTGCTAGCGTAACCATGGCAACCAATTGTTTTGATGTGACATTTTCAAGTGTCAAAATTCAATATGAATTGAATTATTTATTTAAATTAATTATTATTACTATTGTACTTAAGATACAAAAGTAGCAATAGCTTGTTGATATAAAAAATAGTAGTAGCCGTGCGTAACCATGGCAACCAAATGTTTTGATTTAAAATTTCCAAGTGTCAAAATTCAATTTGAAACAGTGTATTGTGCGTTAATGAGATTATTTTGAGTAGTATTGTGGAGTTTCTTGTGTTAATTGTTGTTATTCATTGTTCTGATAATTGTACACGGTC